TTGAATATTATTTATGATTTTAAATATGTAGGTGTTAGAAATCGAGGAGGTGTCGCCACGACTTGCATCTTCTGCAACACGCCACTACACTAACATAAGCAAGTTGTTCAAATAAGGTACGATTAACCCTCTTTATTAACGTCATCGTTACATATCTTTGCCCCACCCCACCACCAACAAAAAAAAAAAAAATCCCAACAAATTACTTTAACAATAGCGCGATACTTAATTTAATTTTAGAAATTTCATTTTACGTACACTTCATAACTTATATTTATAACATTAAACAGATAGAATGACAGATATCGAAATATTAAACTTAGTGCGTATATAGAAAAAGGAATTGACCACAAAAGATCTATCCTTTAGTTTCGTTTGATTAAATCAAAGACATTTAATATCAGATCAGTTAACGAACGTAAACATACACGAAGAATTAGCAAATACATTTTTAATAAATGTCAAAAAATAATCCATTCTTATGAAGAACACATTAACCTTAGGTAGTCATTGATTACTGTAGTGAAACAGTGATCTCACAAATTACCGAATAAAGCTACAGAATCATGAAAACTTACATGATGATACTATACTGACATCACCCTCGTTCCTGAGGTGCTGTAAAAGTGAATAAAATCATTGATTAGTGTCAATCTTCATTTAAGAAGGTCAGAGATTAAAGTATAACAGGATTAGCGCCACTAACACTGTCTTACGAATATTAGCTTGCTCATTTTCCTGATCTGTTTGAACAAGATTTATTGATCAATCCATAATAAAGTCAGAAGAGGTAGGGCAACATGCCCATGAGAATAAATTTAAAGGATGAAAAGTATTTTCTCTATTCTGTAACTGCTTAAAACATGATGAATAAATATTTATTTTGTTATTAACAATCAATATAAAGAAATAATAATGAAAACACTTAGTGACACCATTAATTTTGAGGCCTGTAAGGTTATAATTAAGGGATATTTTAATGTTGTTACCAGTAAATCGTAGAATTATAATCAATTTTATCATTGGTTGATTGCGCTTACTTGAATCTTTGAGAATTTCGACGAAATTTAGTTTCAAAAAAGCCTTCACGTTTTTTTCAAATGAAAAGAAAACGTTAGTTTATCGTCGTTCCATTAATAAAATACAGATATTTCTGACAAGTCGTTCAAACAAGCTTTAAAGTCTTTTAATTAATCATGATTTTATTTTCTTGTTTCTCATTAGTTCTACCATTGTTTATAATTCTCCCACGGTAGGTATCTTTATGTACTTTGATAATGTAAAATAACTGGATACATGTGTTTTACACTTGAACTCGAAAGTCATAGCTTTGTTTTGACTAAAAGGGGTTAAATAGTAACTTAATACTGCTAACTCCTCATCGAAGTCTAATAGTTTTAATGGATGATTAACTTAGCAAAATTTAATGCTTTCAATCAAGTACAATTTCATAAATATTAAGCTTACCGTACGCGTGGGTATGATAGTTAGGTTATAATTAAACTACACATAAAGTACTTGCTGTATCACCTGACAACCTGATAAATGCATTTTAACTCTCTGGTATTGGTACATTCGGGTGTGGCTACGCTGATGTTTTTGTATCATCATCAATATATTAATTTATTTGCACATTTGAATGTTATCTTGTTCTTACAAAATCATTACAACGGTTTTTGACAAAATTTCAAACTTCTTTAATTGTAAGCGTGATTTACAACTGTCAAGCAAAATTTGTTTTTTTAATTTTTCGAGAACAAAATAAACGATGAGCCAATGGACAATATCGAAACTTGTACTTATAGATAACTCGATGGATGCGATGCCTGATGAAAGGTCAACATCGCATCAAAGATAAAAGTGGAGTAAATTACGATAATAAAGAACTAATTTGCGTGTTGTGCGTATCGCTAAACAGTACAATAATTCATAAGGAAATTGCCTTTTACCGTCCTCGGTAGCTCAGGGATAAGCTCGAGGGCTTAGAACATTAAAATACAGGATTCGATACATGGTGCGGATACAGCGCAGATACAGATTGTCCATTGTGCAGCTTTGTGCAAGCTAACAAAACAAACAATATATACTTCGTGATTATCAAGATGCTGTTTACGTGTTTCAAATTTATCAAGATGCTGTGTGCGTGTTTTAAATTTATCAAGATGCTGTGTGCGTGTTTTAGATTTATCAAGATGCTCTGTGCGTATTTTAAATTTATGCATTTTATTAAAAGAATTTTACAAGGTCCAGCTTTTTATCGTTATGTTTGTTTGTTTTTGAATTTCGCACAAAGCTACACGAGGGCTATCTGCGCTAGCCGTCTCTAATTTAACATAGTTAGACTAGAGGGAAGGCAGCTAGTCATCACCATCCACCGCCAACCCTTGGGTTACTCTTTTGCTAACGAATAGTGGGATTGACCGTCACATTATAACACCCCATGGCTGAAAAGGCGAGCATGTTTGGTGGGACGAAAATTCGAACCCCCAAATTGCGAGTCGAGCGTCCTAACCACTTGGCCATGCCGGCCCCTTTTTACGTTATGAGCAAAACGTTCTCTGACTCACTTTTGACATTATTAAATTTTCATAACATAACTACATTATTATCATTTTCGTTTGGAATATATCTAGCGATGGGGGAAGAACTACATTATTTGCAAGTAACGATAATTTCCATATAATTCGCAGTATTTTGTGTGTGTATCAACACATTGATTTAGAGAAATGAAATCACTAAAGGTGAATATTAACGCTCATACATATTTGAACATTTAAAAGAACCATTCAATTCTACACAAGATTGTGTGTCTTGCAGATTATATTTGAAATACCAACATTATATTTCACACTGGATATGGCAGACGTAGTGTGATTGGCATATTATAACATATTCGTCTATGCTTTCACTCATGGGTTCTTAGAATTACTGGTGTTTTATAATGTTTATTCTGTGTTTGCTTGACTAGCTCCAAGAACAAGAAGATAAACTTGCTGGTTCGCATCATAACAGTCGGTGTAAATGAAAATTTGAAATATATATATATAGCGTTTAGACAACTATTAATTTTGTCGTATCCCAGCCGGCATGATGAGCCATGGGACTATACGAAATGCCTCATCGTCACTGATGCAGTGTGGTTAACATATTGTTACATATTCCCATTTATTTTCAATCATGGGTTCTTAGAATTTTCGCTTTTTATTAAGAAAAAAGTAGCCAAGAAATACAAAAATGTTAGCAACCTAGGCGATATGAAACTGAAAAATTACTTCAAGTAACTTAGCAGCAAGAAAAATTCAATCGTTTTATTATTTCTTATAAACTCGTGTGATGCTGTGTAAGATGTGTTATAAGTATGCAGATCAAGAATAAACACATGCTGTGTTTGGCATATTCAGTTCAGTTTCATTCTGAAAACATGCCTTTTTTGTTCTTGAAAAAATCAAACTGTTGGGTATGCAGAACCTATAGAGTACAAAGGTTAAATAATATTTTAATTTCCTTGAAGTAGTATGTCCATGAATAGACAATGTGTCAATGTAGTGTCATGCCCAACAGATGGCACCATGTCAGCAAATTTGAAAACTTCAAACTTTTACAAATAAAAAGAAAGAAAGAAAGCTTATGATTTGAGAAAAAGAGAGTTCGCCGAAAGCTGTTGATTTGAAAAACGGTTCAACTTTGCAATAACAAGACTCTCACCAATCCTCAATTGCACTTCATCTTCAACTTTATTCACTACTAGCTGAATTCCCATCATTAAACAGTAAATGCTAATTAATTTTCACTTTGAAAATTAAATTTAAATAAATGTTTTATGAACATGTTTCCTAAAAATTGATTATATAATATTTACAATATATTTATAAAGCGTGTTTATCATTTTTCTATTATTTCACGAAAATAAAAATGTTTGTGTATATTTGGTCATCTTCTGTAAGGTTTTATTGTTGTTGTTTTTTTTGCATGGTTCAAACTATAAGGTTTTATATAAAGAAAAAAGCAGATTTGAACATAAAATATATATACACACAAGTCAAAATTCTAATCAAGGACCACGGGTTGTCGAAGAAATATTTCTAAATGATCAATTGTCTGACCCTGCGATTCATTAATTGTGATGGAAAAAAATTTGATGGTGAAGAACAAATTCACGAAGGTATAACTTTTCATAAAAATTCTTATAAATATTTTGACTTAATTTTTAAAAAGCTCTTATCGAAGGTGTAAAACGTCAACACCAATGTATTGTGGCATTATCTATTGGGTTGAAAAGATATTTAAGCTATATATATATATATATATATATATAC